ATATCAAAAAAGTACTCCAGAGTGTTGTTCAGCATGGGGGTGAGTAGAAAATGAAGGCTAATCATGTTTTGGGTGTACTATTCCTTTAAGCTGCTGACTGCCACTACCTCGGGGCCAGAGTGTTTGCCAATACTGGGCACTCTAGCAATACTTAGTTTAGCAGAGTCTAAACTGAGTCTTTGTTTGCCAGTTTTGGATACTCTAGCCAAGCTGAGTTTTTCTGTGTCAAATTGAGTTTTTGTCAACCTGAGTCTTAAAATTTTTTTTGGCTTGGCCTCTCAGCAGGAACTCATCCTGCAAACTGGATTTGTTCGGACCTTCTCTCTCTGGAAGGTTCAACTGAGCTTCTAACTGAGCAGGGGTTCCAAACAGGAAGTTTGGATCCACTTTCAACCAAGAGGTCGTTTGAGCTTCACACCGAGCAAAGGTTTCATCTGCACCACAGCCCGTTCAGGTACCGCAGGAAATCAGAGCGGCAGTCAGCTTCTCCGTTCACTCCAAATAGGAAGTTTGGATCAACTTTCCCCAAGAGGTCGTTTGAGCTTCACACCGAGCAAAGGTTTCATCTGCACCACAGCCCGTTGAGGTACCGCAGGAAATCAGAGTGGCACCTTCTTCATTCTACGCTGAGCAGCACTGGATTTCATCACTTTATTGCTAATAAACCTGTTTAAACTTTTCCCTGGTCTCTCTGTTTGGTCTTCTGCATTTCTGGGTCAGACTTTTAATATAATCATGACAGCATGGGCATCCGGTCCACCAGAGGCTTTACTTCTACTTATGCTTATATGATTTTTTTTTTCTTACGCACACATTTTAAAAACTTTCAAATGTTCTGTTTAAAGGAAGGAAGGAAGGAAGGAAAGTGAGTGATGACGACCACAGCGTACCTGATCAGGAGAGATGTTGCCCTCTGCCGCCACCATGGCTCTCAGGGAAGCTACAGGACCACAGAGAGGTACAGCAAGCCCCACCCGCAGGTACCTCTGACCCTTAGTGCTGAACACCAGCGTGACACACATTGGCCTGAGGGGCAGAACAGAAGCACAGAGACGTGACACAGATAGCAGGTATGGCTGTGGGTGCATGGTGAAGGTGTTGGTGGGGAGTAAGATAAATGAGGAGGCAGAGCAAACTGTTCAGAACCTCCATATGTTTGAATTACTGAACCTTTATTTCCAGGCCTGTCTCATCGAGCAGGTCACATATTTGCATTCAGACACGGACAAGGTATTCCGAATCATCTAGAAAAGCATTCCCAGCCACTATGACCCGTCACAATGCCAAACAGAGATTAATGGATCCGTTGGGGATCCAGGGGAGCCGGCGGCAGCAAAAATAAAAGCATGTTTGTTGAAGACACGTTTAGGCTCGGCTCAGCTTCCTCACAAACGAATGCAGCATCTAATCAAACACGACTTTAATCAGGAAAACAACGGTCGGCTTTTCTCTGTGGATAAACCCAATTTCAAAAGCAGGAACCATCAGGGATGAAAACCAGCTGGGTTTAATCACTCCGTACGATGTAAGGTAGTCCAGAATCAGAATAAAAAAGTATGCATGTGGTCTACAAAAACATTTATTGAAGTAAGAATCATAATGTGTATTTTAAACAGCTATGATGTCTCCATCAGTCTGTAGATGTGACTTAAAGCTGTAATTACAGCTAAATGTGATTCTGCCATGTGGACAGAATATACAGGAACTGCATCCTTTAGTGGTCAGACTTTTACTTTAAAGACCATTTATTTTCACAAAACATAATAATGAAACCATATCATTGAAAATAATTCATCACATCAAAAACTTGAGGTTGCTTTTTTTCAGGGTGAACTGGTTGAAAGCAGGAAGGATCTCCTGATGTGGTCTGTCCTAGGGCCCTGTGACACCTTGCTGATTTCTCCATCGTCTGCCTGACGTCCCAGAATCTCCTAAAACGCTGAACTCTCTATGCATTTTTTTCAATTTTGGGCGCATACATAAAGCCTTAGAAAGAAAAATTAGTCTCGCGAGCTTTCAAGGTTTCACTCGCTAATCAGTCTGGAGACTGTC